CTAAAAAGCGGAAAAATCTCATCCCTGAGCAATGAGCTTACAAAAAAACACATTACGTACTGGTCTTAAACAAGAAGCGTTAAACTCAATTATGAACATCCACCTAAATGGAAAACCCCTTTCAGATTTATGTGCAGAAACCTCTGTAAATCATTGGCTTGATTGGGGAACTGGAAAACGTCATATTTGATTCATTTAAAAAACGCAGTACCATCGGATAAATTGACATGATAATTGACAGATAACTTAACCTTTGTATTTAAATTATTTCATAAAAGAAATAAATTATTTCATAAAAGAAATACTAGGTTTTACTATTAGTAACCTAGTATTTGTAATCCTAGTAACTACTAATTCATTGTGCAATTTATATAAATGTTTGTAATAAATAAGAGAAAATTATATTTTTATTTATTTAGAAGCTACGGGTTAGTTTCAAAGGAGGACGGGTACATTGTTGGACAAGCCGTCCCCGGGGACGGGTAAAATTTCCGACTTTCTTCGAGCCCTGTTAGAGGCCCTGCCATCTTGTGGATTTTAGGTTTAATATTTAATTCGCGCTTTCTTGATAATTTTTTTTTGTATTTATCAAACATTTCATAATATAGTATTATTAATCAGCACAACGCCTTTTTAAAAAGGTAGGAAGTAATGGAGTTGCTTCATTAGCTTATAAGAAATAGTGCTTGATAATTTTCAGAACTTCTATAAACATTTTCTCAAAACTTTGAAGCAATATAATATTGTGATTAGTAATTTTAAGTAAATAGTTAAAAATTGTATGTTTCTCAGTCTTTAGACATTTTAAACTGTAAGTATATTTCAATTTAAACTGAAGAAAATCGATTTAGATGATGTTAAAAAAATTCTCCCAACGTTAATTGTGCAAAAATAAAAATACTCATCAAAAATCTTTAACAGGCGACTTTATAGTATTCAAAAACTTGATTACAGAATTGCATTATTTTGCTAGAAAAAATTAATAGAGATTCTAAAATATCGCATGATTAATATATCAAATTGTGGTTTTTGATGGCCTCATATTTTACACACATTGAAACATGCAGTCAAATAGAGTAAATATCCATCATCAGTTTAGTTGTGAAAATTAAATAAAGAGGATTAAAAGCATATTTTGAATTTTCTTTCACCATCTCGACCCCTTTGACAGTTTAGTTTGGTCAGGAAAGGAAGAGCCTCTTAAACACAACAGATAATATGAACTATTCATAATATGAACTATTCATAATGTGAACTATTTCATAATACCATTATGAAATAGTTCACATTAATATTGTTCAACTACAAATTTGATAAGCAAATCTGCAAGTACTGAATTCAATAATAATAACAAAAGCTTTATAAAATACATTGATTTTCTTCATTACATGACAAAATTAACTTTTTATTTATAAAGCCTCTCTTATTTAACAATATGCAACTGAGTTCACTTTTTCATGTTATTTGTATATTAATTAATTTTAAATTTGTGATATTTTAAGAAATGATACCTAATGTGTACCAATCAAATTTCATCAGTAATGAAAATACACAATTCCTAAAACTGCATAAAAATTGGAACCCTTTTTACCCGACTAACCTAAAAGGAATATAGAATAGAATAAAATAAATTATGCATCTCCTTTCATTTTAAATTAGAATATCAGTTTTTGCAAGAAAACATACTCTCCAACATTTGATGCTTTAGGAAAATATTTCTTCCAGTGATAGAGAATTAAAGCCCAATTCAAAAATATTTCATTTTTAAAAAAAATTTTTATAATTTGAAAACATGAAGATTTGTCTAACTGACCTTTTATAGACATCTGTTTAAATTTTCAACAACGCGTAACACTGCGCAAAAGTTTTTTATTTTTTTAAAAAAAATATTATCATTGCTATCCTTTAGAACATTATTTTGCTTAATCTTTGGATATTCCATATTAGTTGGAGTGTATGCAGGGATGATTGTGAGCCCAACTTAAATATTCTGAAAATTTCTTGAGTAAAATCATCAATGACACATTTCAAAAAATTAATGTTTTATAAATTTAAATCACTGATATTTGTAAAACAGAAAATTCTAAATAAATTACATGCAGCATAATTTAAATGAATAATTATGTATAAGTTTACTTTTATCTCTAATCACAGTTATTATTCTACCNTCACGGTATATCTCTGGCGTATGAGAAAATATGGTAATAAATGGTAAGGTATGGTAATAAAGCATTTAATGCATACCCTTTTTCTTGTACCACTGAAGCTCGTTAGAAAAATACCATTTCGTGGTATTCAAATCCTCATCATCTTCATCACCTTCTCCAGAAAATATTTGCAGTTCAGCATCAGATGAGAGTGATGATGTGAACGGTTGAATGTTATAAGTATAACTGTCTCTGAGGTCCTGCAGTTGAGGGAAAGGGAACGGGGCAAGAGTACACATAGTCTAGAAGAAGAAAAAAAATATTTTCAATTCAGTATTAGATGAGACTGAAGAAGTGAATGATTGTATATTATAACAATCCCTGAGATCTTGCAGTTGAGGGAAAGTGAATGGGGAGAGGGTCACATAGTCTAGAAAAGATATTTCAAGAATAGAAATGTCTACAGTTTAGCATCAGATGAGAGTAAAGATGTGAATAATTGTATATCGTAAGTATAATTAACCCTAAGGTCTTGCAACTGTCATAAGAATACAAGCATATAGTGACTTTTCCAAGTTTGAAGAGGTGACAATGGCTTTAATCAAGTGATAGGATAGCATGGTTTTAATTATTTGATTTTTTTTAATACAAGTTTAAAAGCTGTGTGGCAATGATTTAAACCAAACAAAATTAGAGAATTAAATCATGATTTTAATTTCTTAATATTTTTACAGGGTAAAAAAAATCAAGTGTAAAGAGTTAAAAGAAAGGGGTTAATCATTTTAATAAAATAATAAAATTAATAAAATCTTGGACATTTTTCCTTATTTTTTTTACATGTTACAGGGGATCAATGATTTAAATCAAATCATAAAAGTAAGACAAAAACATGATTAAGATAAGTTAATGAAAAATTGTTTGTAATAAAATTTTTAATGCAAAGTTATTACAGATATTGATTACTAACATAAAGACACAGTAATGCTGAAGTTATTGAATAAAATATTGTAGGTTACCTAATTGATAAAAATATGTAGATCTTTCCTAAATCATGTACAAATTTGGTACAGGATTTTTTTTTACATATATAAATCAAAGCTTTGATAAAATATACTAATAATGCTTAATACCATTTAAATATACGTTGCAGGATAAGAATTTACAAAGTTATAACTAAAGTAACTTAGTTACAATACTTTAATTACAATATTATGAATAAAATATAACACTGTAACTGAAGTATTAAGTAAAATATTTCAAACTAAAATGGTCAAAATAATTATTACAAATTAATCACAGAAAATAAATCTTAGTTGTTCTTATTAAAGGTCAATACTTTACTGAATTTGTCAAGATTAAGACCTTATTTGTCAGTTATATATTGGAAAAGAATAAATTAATTTAGACCAGGACACATAAAAAATTGTTTTAAATTACTCTTGGCAGAAAAAGTCTTTCTTCATTATAGCTAAAAGACATGCTGCATAAGTTTTAAATTTGTATTTAAATAAATATAAAACAAAATCTACATAATTAAATATTATTTTTACCACATCTATAAACATACAGTCATTCCTATACCTATTTACCATTTCTATATCAAAAAACTTACCTTAACAAACATATCTGCATCCATGAGACCAAACTCTAAAATCTCACGCGTGAGAACACCCATTATGCAATAAAATTCATCTGCACTCTCAACAGCCATGATTCTACTGCAAATTCAATAAAAAATAAAAATTAATATGATAAAAAGAAGTTTCTTTGTTGGAAAATATTAATAATTAAAGCAAAGATTTCAGTAGTGCAAGTATCAGTACAATAACGAAACAAAAAGGCATATTATATTAAAGTTAAACTTCTTAAATTTTATAAGCTGATTGTATTTTAGACAGAAAAGGATTAAGAGTAAAAGGATTAAAATCTTTAATATTAAGTAAAATCAAGAAGAAACTAAAAAATTAAAAGTAGTTGTATTACGGCTGTGCTCCCGAAAAAGAGAAAAAATAGCTAAGCTGGTCGCTGTTTGCTATAAAAACAGTTTGTTTCTAGAAAAGTAATCTGATAACATTTATTATTTTTAATTTTAAACTGTACAACATTTTTTTACCCTTTTATATTAGAAACAATTCTGTTTACATGCTTTAACTTTAAGTCTAGGTGGAACTAAACCGCACTGGTGGAGTCTAATTTTCTTGCAATTAATGAAAAGAATTGAAGATTAAAGATAAATGGGAAATCGTTATGGAGAAATCTTCAGAGGAAGGCATTGGCCCACATTGAGCTGGCTGGCCAACTATGATGATGAGGATGGAACTAGCCTGCTTTAACATTACAAGGAGAGAAATTCAGGATAACCTCCCAAGGCAGGGGAATTTAACACTGATGATATTTTGCATAAGAACTGTGGTTTGAGTATAGATGTAGGTCGAGTAAATATTCAGCGGGTAGTGTATTTTAAAAAAAGGTAATTACTCAGGTATTTACCATTGCTTCAGGTAAATACCCAAAATCAGGGTTTTTACCACTTTTTGTAAAGGCATAAAACCAGAATTTGTCTTGCTTATAATTCTGAGAATAATATAATCTTATCTTTATTTTCAAAAATAAACTTTAAACTATATAAGTTACCCAAAGAAAAATTTCAAAAAACTATAAATACAGAGGTACACGATAAATTGTTCCATTAAAAAAATAATGTACAATGTGTGATGTAAGTTCAAGATTGCACATTTAAGTTCAAGATTGCACATTTAATTTAAAGATTGCACATTTTAAAAAAGAAATAATATTTTTCAATGCAATGGTACAACCTGGATTTAATAGAAGAAATCCTAAATGAACACAGAGAATACGATAAAAATTTATGGAAACTAAGTTTTTAAACAGGTTTTGTTCATTTATACTGAGTTAGTAAATTTAAGTGAGTCATATTAGTGATAAAACTAAAAATATAAATTTCATGTCTAAATTATAAAAGAAATTTATCCATAAAACTATTTAATTTAAACCACATTTGTCTTTTTTTTTAAAAAATAAACAAAAAAAATAAATGTACAGTAGAGCGCCGATTATCCGAA